TTGAAATGTTCATATTGATATTTTTTTAACTCTGGCTTTGTAATAAAAAATATGGCAAAACGAAAACAGCCAAGCGTCACAGCTTTTGGATTCACAAGCAAAGAAGCGAAGGAGTCTAAAAATGACAACGTGACTGGAAAACAACTTTTAGTTGGCCGGCTGTAAGCGGCGTTAGGGTCGAGCTTGACAGCTCCACACCGAGGGAGAGGCCTGCCGATGCGGAGCCTGAAGAGGCTTCAACAACGGCCACATCCGCCGGCATAGTGACACCGTCTGTATTAGTAGAAGAGTGTTTTTATAGCAATTGATCGCATCCGCGCTGCTGCGCCAGTCAACAGAGCGTGCGTGTGACATATTTAGTAGCAGGATGTGCTCTGAAAAATAGGGCTCCCCGAAAGCAAATGGGTAATTCGAACACTGACAGAGCTCCCTCTATACAAATCAAACTGTAGACGGTGTGAAAGCACCTATTGTTTTAAATAATGGTCGGAATGTGACCTGTGAGCCTTCTCAATTACCGTGGGACAGCACATTCTAAACTAAAATGTTCAATCAATAAAGTAACATCTTATCTTATCTTAATAATATCTTCATAATAATAATAATAATAAATCATACAGTATGTGTCCGAAAGGGAGCAGGAGGAAGCAAACACAAAAATATACAAAAAATATACTGCATATTAAAGCAAACGATTGTAAAGGTTAAAGTATGAGCATAACAAATAAAGAAGTGTAATGTAAACATTTACATTATAATTATGATTATTTAATATATAAAGACTATATATTATTGAATTACAAGATTAGATATACTTTAGTTGATCTAAAATATTGATGTGTTCAAATGCTCTTCAAAACACAACTGAAAGTCCATGAAACTTGTCTTTCTGTATTTGTGAATGAAGCGCCATCTCCTGGTTAAAACCTGAAATTGAAAATATGGCAACGCCCTCTTGGAAAATAGTGGGAGGGCTTAACATTCCTCTATACTGGTCTTTGGCAGGTCGTAGGCAGGAAGCTGTAAGCTGGAGTATGAAATTCAGTGCTACATCTGTACATACTGATATACACCTGAACATCAGCAGGAGAGGACTCTTTAAAGTAGAGACACTACACACTGACATACACCTGCACATCAGCAGGATATGTCTTCTCATGGCAAACTACAAAAGCTAGAAAGCAGCCTGTAGCTTTTTGAACTCAGTACATGAGAATGTGTTTTACATTTCCATTCAACCCACTAATAAAACATTTAACGTGCAACTGTTTCTGGTTCCTTGTTCCAGGAGCTTGTTGTTCTACAAAGCAACATCTATTAATGGCAGTTTCTATCATTTTTTCCCAGAATGAAGAGCCAGTATTTTCCAAGGATTGTACAACATTCTTCATCACTTTGCCATTAAAACAAGGTGGCCACGGGACATTCAACCACATCACCATGATCTCTAACCAAGTAAAACTACCACTAACTTTTAATGAAATGAATCCATTCATTGAGGTGCTTTAACTGTTAAATGTGTATTTCTTCTTTTAGTCCTCTTATTTTTCCCAAAGGCCTTTAAATTATTAATACTGTTCATATGATTCTATTTTAAATGATATTCTTATTACATTTACTGAAACACCAGTGGATTAGGAATAACTGAATGAGAGTTGTACATTAGATGAACCGGAGGCTCTGCAGACTCATTTAATCTCTCTAGGGATAATGAGTGGAACAAGAGTTTGAGATTGAAAGTAAGAGCTGGGTGAAATTAAAGAAAACCTCAGCATGTAGGGCATGTGAGGTGATGTTAACCTGCTGTGCTGCTCCTTAGTCTGAAGGTCAAGAGGTCAACCTGCGCCACCTGACCTCAGGAAGCTGGGAGGTGTCTCACATTCTGGCCTATGATGAGAACACATACTCAGTGTAAGCAGCAGTTATTGACACCATACAACTCAAAGTGGTATATTTATGTATAATCCAATATAAACTTGGTAATAAAAGGTTAATTTGATGTTTTTCAGATACTTTCTGAGTTCAGAGGAAGGGTCAACGCAACAACAATTGTACAGGTAATATATCCACATACATTAGATGTGGAAAAAGTATTGTTTTTATTGACAAACATTTTGACATTTTAGGGAATTCAGTTATTAGCTTTTTTGCTGAGAGTTGGATCAACACCACTCTCAATGAGATCTTTATTGTCATTTTAGAGAACAAAATGGTTTTAACTATTTTGTTTTGCCCTAAAAAGTGAGTTGTATAGAGTAGTTTCCATCGGATTGAAGTGGACATTTAAGAACTATTTTTGTAAATCTGCAAAAGAAAATAAATAATATGCATTTCCATGAACTCCTGTTACTTGAATATGAGGAGTTGGTCCATACAGATAAACACCTGGGGGGCGATAAAGCTGCCATTAAACCACGGAGGAAGAGGGTTTAAGGAATTGATTTGATCCAATCAGCAACAGCCAACTCTCAACCATTAGAAAATGACAGTATGCAGAGAATATTATGTAAATATGCTTTTATGTCTGTTTCACGTATACATTAAGGACCACAGACACAGGATGTCTCTCCTAGCTTCATGTATACTTAAATTCCATACATTAAAAACACATTTTCATTGAGTTTGTCTTATCCTGCCAGCTAGAAACACACTGATTGTGTGAGAAGATTTCAATCAGCTTCTCTCATCCTCACAGAGTCTCCACTGTGGACCCGTTTCATAAAGAGTGCCTCTCCTGCGCTCTCTTCAAATCAAAGTGCTCGTACTACGACGCCTCCATCAGCCCTCAGTATCAGAACGTCCTGCTGAACGGCAGAGGTACCACTGTGACCGGCCGTGACATCATCACTGTGTGACACTAACTCACAGCAGCTTCTACTTTGGTTCACTTTTAACACACTCAAATTGTTCATTTTGTCACAAAGGCAAGGCAAGGCACTTTTATATGGCACTTCAAAGTGCTTTACAAAAATGAAAGATATTAAGAGCATAAAACATATTATAAACATTAAAAAGCTAAGATAATAAAACATGAATAACACAGGTACATGAATAAAAGTTACAGTGCAGTGGAAGTTGTGAATACACACAGGTTAAATCATTAGTAAATACTATTTGTACCTTTATTATGTTCTGTATTGTTCTCCATTCATCATGTTTGCTAAGTTGATTCGATGTATCACATGTATTTATTCATGCAGGCTGAAATATTATTTTAACAAAATATCTCTTCTGTCTTTATCTCACATATAAGAGTTCTAACAGAACATTATAATTACATACAAATGTACAATCTGCAGCCTATTGCCTCATCAATGTATGATATGTTATTATTTTTAATTTCTTCAGGTTCACTGTCTCAGAAACACTTAATATCTTTGATAAAAATATGTGATACAGTTTCATTTTTTCCCTCCAGGTCCTGGAATACCCAGAACTACTTTTCACAGACTGAGTGATATGACCAGTAAGTACTCAGTACTAAGAACCTATTTACTGTTTAGTTATTTTTACCAAATTCCATTAGGTATAGTTATGTATTGTAGATGCAAATGTTTTGAGCATGAGCATGCCAAAAAAGAGAATTAATCAAATGTTGGGAAATTGAGTGACTAAAATCAGCTGAGATAAAGCGCTAAGTCAACAGAAGATGTTTACAGTACTTATGACCACAACCCTTCCCCCACTCACACAGGCTCACCATTGGAAGTTACTTGTTTTATTCTCATCATATATCACATCTTTAATTTCTATGCTGATTTGTACTTTGTACTAAACTTGACATACATGTTTTCATCATTTCTCAACAGCTTATAGGCTAGCAGGAAATGAAATGAATAAGTGATTCAGAACTCTCCATTGTTAGTGTTGCAGCTTCCAGTTGTCTTCAAACTAAAGTAGTTCTAATTCTGGCCCTTTTTTTCACAGAGCACAAGACTGTTGAGGCCAACACGGTACTAAGACTTGCTCTCAAAAACAGGAGAATGCCAAAGTGGGAAAGAAGAATTGTACAAATCAACAACTTTGGTATGACATTGCAATCATATTTAACAATGCGCAATACTTTAATATGTGTATTTTATTCTTTACCTTGCTCCATGTTATCATTATTACCACCACTATCACCATGTAACATCCAGCTCGTTGTTATCTTTATTCTTTTCTACATTACAGAGTTATAAAATGCCCTTTGAAGAACCAACTTTATGTTAAAATTCAGTAGTGCAACCCATCATATAACGGCTAGATATACCATTACATAATGATTACTCTTAATCTAGCACAGGGGTCGGCAACCTTTTTGATATGAAGTGCCATTTAAAAAAAAAATTGTTATCAGCGTGCCAACGATCGAGAATTATCAACGGGGGGGGGGTTGAGGAGCTTGATGCTCGTCAACTATCAGCAGGAGGGCGGGGGAGCCTCGCTGCGGGGAAGCAGCGTGTCAGCGCAACTCACCTGATGCCGAATTCAACAAACACATTTAAATAATTGGTTTGAACGGCATAATAATAAGGACGATCGTCCGTTCTGTGATTCTCCAGAACACACAAGTTATGATATTAGGGTCATGCAGAGTGAGATGAGATCGCTGTCCCTTTAAGAGAGAGAGAGAGAGGGGTGCGGCTTGTGCAAGTGTGTTTGTGAATGGTAGAGCGACAGTGAGGAACCTATGGAGAGAACGTGTGTATGTTTCTGGAAGTGAAACGAGGAAGCAGAAAAACAGAGGTCTGTGATGTATTTTGTGAAACAGAAGAACAGCTAAATAAATGCAACGGCCTCCCAAGAAGAGCTCGCCTCTCTCTAAAGTGGGTTATTGAACCTGAAGCTTGTTGCTTCT